GCAGGTTAGCAGAAAGCTCTCCACACACTCACCGGACCTGGGCTAGGACTGGGTCTGGGGGTTCCCGGAAGTGGGCAGAAATTCCTACTCGGTGGGAGGGGTGGGGGAGGTACGGCGGAGTGGTTGGGGGTGGCCCGAGGGGGTGGGAGAGGGTCCGGCCCACGCTGCGCCAGGGCTGGGACCAAGACTACGTTTTTCAGATTTCTCTTTCATCCCTATTTTCTTATTATTTTTACTGATAATGTCCAAGCTGTCATCACATAAAACTTCTGATTCTGCTTATGTGATATTCATAATATAAAATATTCAACTTTCTGGAAATATCCTTCAGATAAAATGATAGAAGTTTGAGAATGTAAAAGTTGAAGGAAATGATTATGGTTTGATGCCAAATAGAATAGAGATATCCAAAAATTGATTAAACCCATAAAAGTCTGCATATTTAACTTTTATTTCTTACTCTATTTTAAAACATGTGCTTACAAATTGGTGAAATTCCATGAACCTGCAAATCTTTAATTTCTTCGTTTTAACTTCGATCCTGATGTAAGGCATCTTCTACTGTGAGTCAGTCCAATCAATCCAAGGCTTTGACTTCTTCTTGGTCCCTTTTATCTGACTCTGATAACACTTTCCTGTTGGTGGTAATATAGATCAGCTCATACATACTGTAATTGTGAACACAATGTAGTATTAAAAAGAACTAAAAAATTTCTATAACAAAAATCAGTGTTTTGGATATGCATTAAGTTTTGTAACCAAGTATAAAATTATACATAAGAGAAACAGTCATTATGCTGCAAAATATGATTTCAAGAGCCTTGCAGAACGCCTTCTACCCTGAATATTTTTTTTTTTGGTGGAACCAGGGATTGAATTTAGACCCTTGTGCTTGCCAGGGAAGTGCTTATTCTACTAAGCCATCTCCCTTGCTCCCCTGAATATTTTGTTTGTCCAAGAATTAAATTATTTCACCATTGGTAATTGATTCTTTGGATTATTCATTGTTCCTTCTACTCTGCCTTCTTAAAATGCAAAAATTTCTTGGTAGAGAATATATTGCTATTTGGATGTCACATGAAGGTACTTTCCAGTTCTTTCTAACTGGAGACACTGATCATCCTCAGATGTGTCAGAGAAGGGAAATGGACAGGTGCATGTGTGTGCCGGGAAGTTTGGAGCAGCAAGGAAAAGATGGAGAACTACAAGGGCAAAGTGAAAGTGTTTTACAATTGTGTCTGAAATATTTACAAATGTAAAATGTTTATAAAACAATGTACAATATAAAACATCAATTTCTAAAATACCTAATGTGGAATTACACAATATTCCTGAACTAAAATTTTTTAAACAAATATTTTCTGAATTTCAATATGTAGGCAAGTGTGCTAGGCACTTGGGGTGGCCCCATTTCTCATTGGGTGTAGGAGGATACAATTTAGTTATAGACAAGACAGAAGTATGTCAAATGTTAAATAATTTGAGACAAGAAGAATTAAACAATTATAAAATGTTATGATTAAGAGTAATACATGATTATTTACCAAAAGTATGGTACAGAAGGTGGCTATCGGAAGTTCAGAGGCAAAAGGTGTTACTGTGAAATGGAATGAAATTCAGGTGATGGAGTAGAGGAGAGAATGAATGTATTACAACATGGATTAAATAACTACATATTTAAACTAAGCTATCGGCTTAAACTTTAAAATAATGTTTAACTTAGGTGGGCCAACATGAGGAGTAGCAGGAACATTTTGTAAAAACACTTAAAGAAATCTAAGACACCCAAACATAGTTAAAGCTATTCAAGTAGCAGTTTTCATTCTTTGGGTCAATGTTATGGTTTGTGTCTAGCTGTCCCCCAAAAGTTTCATGCAGTCATGGGGCAGACTTCTAGAGTTTGTGATTAACTCATGATCCACTGGGGTTATGGGTGAGTGCTGCACCCAGCCTGGGGCAGATGCCTGAATGCAACATCAGGGAGATGTACTTGCTGTCTGTTGCCCTTGCTGCTCCTCCTCCATTTTACTCTCTGCTATTCACCTTTCACCACCACCATGCAAGGTTTTCTTCTGCCATGTGCTGCTCTGCCTTGGAGCTAGCCGAGTATGGACTGAAACTTCCAGTAACTGTGAACTAAATAAACTTTTCCTTCTTTTGTTTTGGGTGTTGGGTATGTGGCCCAGCAATGAGAGAAGAGTAACTGAGACAGTCAGGGAAGTAAATTTTTTTGATTGGGCTAGTTTTGTTCCACCCTTAGAAGCCAAGTTAAAATTAGGTGGCTAAAAAACAGAAGATAAACTGCTCAACAGCAAGTAGAGAAAATAGCTAGGTGATTAAAATGATTTCTTATCATTTTTGAGTTTTAAAAATTAGCAAAGATGGGGACTGGGGAGATAGCTCAGTGGCTTAAGTGCCTGCCTGACAAGCACAAAGTCCTGAGTTTGATCCTTGGCACCACAAGAAAAAAAAAAAAAAAGCAATGACATATTCATTTTTCTTTAAGGTGATTACTTTAATAACAGTAAAGGAAGTCAGCTTCTTTATCAGTGAAATCTGAATCAAAATTCTGCTACTTTCCAACTGTTCTTCCCTGAACATAGTATGAAAATAAATGTTAAATTAATGTTGAATTAGCCATTTTATTTTTTTTTAATGTATTTAGTACAGGGTCTCACTATGTAGATGGGACTCGTAGTGATCCTCCTGTTTGCAGCCTCCCAAGCTCTGGGACTACAGGCTTGTTCCAGCATGCCCAGTCTCAATTGCAATCTCAGTGTGCCCTGGGAGCAGGGCCCCACATGGCTTGTGGAGCTGGGGATCCAATCCCCATCCCTGCGCTCTGCCTAAGTAGGCACTTGAGTACACTGAGCTATCTGGCCTGCCTTAGCCATGTGTTGGTTTTTAATCATAATACAAAAATGCAGAGCTTTGTAAAAATCAGATATGTTTTAATAATTAAGTGCTGATAGTTGATTTCTTTTAAACTCTTCCAGACTGTTTCTGGCCCTGTACTAACATTCCAGGAATAAGGATATTAATTCATTACTGAGAGGCTGGATCCATTAGCTACAAGAACTTAGTGATGCTTTGCTGGCAGGATCTGAGCTATCGTCTGCAAAGACCTGCTGATGTTCTAAATAAAGATGGTGGGACCACAGTGGGCAGGAGGGGAAGGCTGAAGGCAAGTGCATACAGTGACCTGGATGGTGAGGGAGGGACAGAGAATGTGGATCTGGCCTTCAGTTTCCGCCAACTTTGGCTTGCATATTTCACAATTATACATCTGGGTGCACAGGATTTAATGTCTGCGAGAAGAGGAGAATTTATTCAAAGTAATCGCCTCCCAACCCTAATATGGTAGGAGGGATTTTCAGGAGATGTGACAGTTGAGGATGAAAAAAGAATTAGTGCTGCTTTAGACTACAAAACAAAACAGCTTCCAGGAGAGTATTTTTGACAGGACTAAACTTACTTTTTGTTGTGTGCTTTATCCTTCAGTTTATAAGGACGAGAAATCAATTCTTTCTAAAAAATCAGAAAGGAAAACTTTTACTTCTTATGGTGATCAAAATTTACTCGCCTGAAAAAAATCTAATCATCACGAAGTTTGTAAAGACTAAATTCTTACTGTTTCTGATCCAAACAGTTGGATCAGAAATGTCTAAGATTAATGAATTTGAATTTCATTAGAAAATGTGTGCTTATATATCTATACATTTACACTGTGATATTCTTATCCAGTTTGTCTATCATCATTTATTGTTTATTTCTATATGATCTGGGAAAAGATTAACCATTGTAAACCAAATACTGATGCTGAAGAAGTCTGTTATTGTCACACAGCATTGTAATATGTAAACAAAAAACTCTGATAACAACATCCCAGGAAATGCCAGGAGAGCTGCAAACTCTGGAGGTATCTTAGGTTTCTCAAGGATTGACCTCTACTTCCTTTCCACGTATACAGAAGGTTCTAGATGAGGCTAGGAGTATACATTTAAGGAGTTGATCTATGAAACCCCAAAATTTTGCCACAGTGTCTCAGATAGATATACCCAAATGCATATCAGTCTTACCGAGATCCTTTCTTCTCTTTGTTTTCTTAAGAGTTGGAGAATCTCATCTCTCTTTTTAGCCTAAAGGCAAAAAAAATGTAAGTGAGTGTTGACTCAATAATAAACTCTATGCCTGTGGAAGGCAGAATTCTTCTATTTTCTTCTGGTGTTGGTAGAACTTTAAAATATTTTTTCCATGATAGATTTATGCATTGTCATTTATAGCACTTTCCTGTTTTTATTCCAGAAGAGACAACTTTAAAAATAATTTTGTTTTGATCCTAGATGGAGTTTTCTCTTCCATAACAACTTTTGTTAAGGCCTTAGCACATGAACTAAGAGTTTTATAGATATAATGTCATTACTAACAACTTAGAAGTTTGACACTACTATGATTTCATTTTATAGGTGAAGTGGAGTAAAGTTAAATAAATGATTAAGTGGCAGACTGGTTTTAATTCCAGTCCCATTAAATCCAAGCTGTTTATGCTAGATTGTTACAACATGTAGGATCAAAGCATACCACTACTTAAGTCCATGGTGAACACGGCTGGCTGCAGTTGCTTGCATATGGGAATAGAACCCTATTCTCAAATCTCTCATTTCTCCAGCTTATCAAATCTCTTATTTCTCTAGCCCTCAGCTAAGTTTTCTAAAGTGTAAAAACTCTTTGTTCTCACAGGAAATTTTATATTCTAATAAAAATGTGTGCTATAGGGCTAGTGATCAGGGGCAGTCAATCGAGCCTGGGGTAACACTGATGAGCACAATTAATTTATTTGATGATGTCACACAGAACTTTGTGAAAAATGGTTAAATGGTAAATAACAGTTGTGCTACATTAGTACTTATAAGCTGAGGCACTTTCTAAGATCATATTTAATGTGAACTAAAATTTTTTATTGTAGGTTAATCATAAAGTAGGCATTACATTCCAAATTTAAGCAGAACTAAGGTTCTGTGGCTTAACAGAGCTTGAGATTATTATGATTTTTATTTTATTGAAGTTCCACAATTTGTTTTAAATTCTGTGCCGATCATTAGGAGTCAGTTTTTTTATAGGGCAAATAGGGAGTTTCAGTTCTTATTTTAGATAGTATCTTAATGTTCAAAAGGTTTCATTTCACTTTTATATCATGAATGTAGTCTCCAGGATATTGAGAAGTATGATTAGTGTAAGTAAAACTATTAATAAAAATCTCATATTTGAGCTTGATTTCAAAAGGACTTCTCATCTTATTGATTTTGATAACAAAATACTTCAACTGTGAGTTTTATTCTATAAATATATAACTGTTCTCTGTGCATACTAAAATTTGCCGTGTAACTTTATAACTACTTTTTAGTAAATTTCTAGCTACTATAGTAATAAGAAATAGAACATGTGGACTTCAAAAGATTTACTATCCAGGTTAAAAGACAGAAAATAATCAGTGAAGAGGTCTTCCCTTCTCTAGTCCTAATCTGATTTTAGAAGGCAGGCCTGATTGCAGGAGTCTATGAGATGGAAGATGATACAGGATTATTTATATGAGGGAGGAATAATGCTGACTTGCAGGGGAAAGATGCAGATCTAAGCACTTTTCCATACCTCTTGGAAACTGTCTGACCCTGGCTCACATCCCAGATCTGACATATATAATTTTCATCTCAAATATAACAGTTTACTAAATGAGAAATATTACATATCACATAACTGAGAGTCAGTACCATTTTTCTTAAATGTAGATTTCAATCAACTATGAATTTATCTGTTATGAAGAAAATTGTGTTTTTGGAGGGTCTATGACATACATTTTCTTGTTTATGTTACATAATTTTAATAGAAAATAATTTCCTGAAGTATATAGTTCTTGTTTTTGAAACATTCATACACATACACACAAATGCATGCAAGGCAACTATGGAAGTGGGTTTTTTTTTTTTTTTTCACCCCTGGGGATTGTGGCTCAGGCTGTCTCATTCTAGGCAAGTGATCCTCCATTGAGTCCAAGTGATTTAAAAAAGCTGTTTGACATTGCTTTAAAGGGTACTTAAAAAAAAAGAACAAGTGAGATTTGAATGTTAATGTTTAGAAAAATATGAGTGTAAAATGAAGATGATATTTTTAAATTTGATAGAGCACACATATGCTAGGGATACTGCTCACTACATGATTACAGTATATGCTGTGGATAAGTTAGTCTGCAATAAAAATCAAAGCTTGTCCTTAGCAAACAAAAGACCACTGAGACATTTCATCAAGCTGGTGAATGGCTGGATGGGACTGACCTCATCTTTCAGATATGTCTTTCCGGTCCTGCTCTTAAGAACTTAGAAAGGAGGGGTGAGGGAGCTCCCCACATAGATGACTGTCAAATTTCCTCTCTGGAATTTCCTCTCCTTCTAGCCCAGATAGTCACAGGTCTATTATATAATTTCACCTGCTTATCTCAAAGGTGCCTCAAACTTGGTAAGTCTAAATTGAATTCATAATCCCTCCTCTCCAAAATCTCAACACTTGGGCTGGGGAGATAGCTCAGTAGAATAAGCACTTGCCTGGCAAGTGCAAGGTCCCGAGTTCAAGCCCCAGTAGTGCAAAAAAACAAAAAAAAATCCACAAAAACAAAAAACTCTTTTGGGCCTGTGAGATGGCTTAGTAGAATAAGAGCTTCCCTGGCAAGCGCAAGGGCCTGAGTTGAACCCCTGGTTCTGAAAAAAAAAAAAAAAAAAGAAATAAAAACAAAGAAAAAATATCTCAACACTTGATCTTCATCTAACATTACTCTTTATTTTAGAGAATGACACTATTTAGCATGTTATGCAAGCCAAAATAGCTATGAGTTACCTTTGATACCTGGCTAGGCTTCACCTTCCATTTCCAATGTATAGCCCGAATCGTAGCTATTTTATTTCCTAAATATCTCTTGAATTTATCTACCTTTTTCTACCTGATTGCCATCATCCTAATCTAAGCTACCATCACCTCCCTGCTGGATTTCAGTGGTCCCTCCAATCTGGTTTCCCTGCCTATGGATACTTTCAGGCAATTTTCCATATGAAAGTTTCTGATCTCTTTCAAGCAAATCTGATATTATCATCCTCCCAATATAAAAATATTTCAGTGGTGTCATACAATGTTCATATCGTGGACTAACTTTATATTGATTTTCCATGTTGGCCATTTAGCTTCTGAGGTACACAATTAATAGCTTTTTTCTTTCATGGTTTTATTTAGGGCTACATAAATTTACCTTTCATAAGAAAAAATTTCCAAGTTTACAGTAAATAGCAATTTTTTTCTAATTACTAAGCTACCATTGCAGTAGTAATAGGTCCTTTCCCATAAAAGTTATTATATAGGGTTTAGGACAACAATAGGATTGTTTGTTTTGATTCCACTTTTTTTTTTTTTTTTTTTCTCCAGTACCAGTAGTCGAACTTGGGACCTTGAACTTGCCAGGCAGGCACTTATGCTGCTGAGCTATCTTTCTGGCAGGATCAATTGCTTATAAATTGATTTTTGAACAATGTTTTTGGCCTGGGTAAAACATAAAAATAACCATAGGTAGTCCCTTGTTTATCTCATAAATCAGTTTTTTGGTTATGGCAGTAAGGCATAAGGCAGACATTTAGCAGTGTGATTTGAGTTTGAGAGAAGATTCTAGGGCCCTTTCCTTTCCTTTCCTTTCCTTTCCTTTCCTTTCCTTTCCTTTCCTTTCCTTT